TGCGTTTCTCAGTTCAAGCAGGTGCAGCTTGGGGATAAGATGGACCTGGCCTCCTACCTGCTGAAACCCATCCAGCGGATGAGCAAATACGCCCTGCTGCTGAAGGACCTGATCAAGGAGTGCAGCGAGGCACAAGAGCAGGAGCTGGGCTACCTCCGTGCGGCTGAGGAGATGGTGAAGTTTCAGCTCCGGCATGGAAATGACCTGCTTGCTATGGATGCCATCCGTGACTGTGACGTACGTTCCAGTGTCCTCCCTTGTCCGGGAGGGCAGAGCCACACTTCTTCCCCTTCTCTAGACTTGGGGTCTTTGGATCGTATGGTGAGCCTCCCCTCAAATTCCCACAGTGATCAGGGTGCAGTCTGCCAGTGCAGCATAGCAGGACTACTGAGGTACAGGGCAAGGGAACAGCAGGGCTTGGAGGTCTCCTTGATCTGCTAGGACAGACAGCCTGGATGCTGTTGCCTGAGCTGGGTGAGCTGCTTGTCATGCACATGCTCCCAGGTGCTTACTGGTGACATGAGGCAGGCTGGCAGCCCTTGCAGATGGCGTCCTGCAGGCTGCCTTGAGCCCTTCCGTCTCTTTTGAGCTGGTGATAAGAAGGTCAGGCAATTTGCAAGAAGGAATTCAAACTGATGCCAGGGGTAGGCCAAAATCAGCTAGGTGGGACTTGAAGGAGAGGCATGCAAAGTGCAGCACTGGAGGAGGAGAAACCACAGGGCTCAGGGTGGAGGAAGATGGATCTGGGACAGGAAGAATTGAGGGACTGGCCTTCTGACCCAGATGTGCTCCTGGCAGTTTGATGGGACTCCTTTCCTCTTCAGCTCTCTTCTTCCCCCTAAGATAATGCTCTGGCTGCTGCCTCCAGTTGCCACCCCAGAGGTTCTCACAGATCTGCACAGGGTGACAGCAGAGGGTCATCTGTATGCCATGCCTAGGAGAGAGGTGCAGCTCTCCCCTGAGCTCTGGGCCAGTTGTTTCAGCCTGATGTGGCCTCTAGCAGTGCCATGCAGCCCTACCTCTTTAAGAGCCCTCCTAACATGACAGGTAGCTGCCACTTCTTCACCACCAGGGCCACAGCCATATGGGACCTTGCTCTCCACGTCCAGGCCTGGGGGTTGCCTGGAGCGGATCCTGCTGGGGTCTTACCAGGATGTTCCCTGTGTCCAGGTGAACCTGAAGGAGCAGGGGCAGCTGGTGCGGCAGGATGAGTTCACCATCTGGCTGGGCCGTAGGAAGTGCCAGCGACACGTCTTCCTCTTTGAGGACCTGATCCTGTTCAGCAAGCCCAAGAGGATTGAGGGTGGCTTTGATGTGTATATCTACAAGCGCTCCTTCAAGGTAAGGGCAGCCCTGCAGCTCCCTCTTGTGCAGGAGGTGTCCATGGCTGGTTTCCCCATGGACACATGGCTCTGAAATGGGGAGCGGGAGCAGGAGCACCTTCAGCAGAAGAGCTGCGCCCACCACTGCTAAGCCTTCTCCAAGCCATGCAGTGAAGCCATGAAGAAGGGAATATTTCACACGTTAATGCTTGGACCCCCTCCGAGCTGTGAGATGTGGGGCCAAGGTCTCCTGAGGGATGCAGAGTGTGAGGGAAAGGCAGTGTGTGTGTGGCAGGGGGGTGGTGCTGACTCTGAATGAAGCACTGGGAGTTGCCTGGGCTGTCTCTGCTCAGCTGTGTCCATATCATACCTGCTCCTGTCTGGACCCTCAGGCTCCTTCCCCTTGGGTCTGTCGAGCTGGGGGTGGCTCTGGTACAGGGTGCAGGCTGAGTTTACTCTTTCTGCTCTTAGTGGGGCCCCAGTTGATGCTTTGCTCTTCCTTTTTCTGGCAGACTGCAGACATCGGTCTGACGGAGAACTCTGGAGACAGTGGCCTGCGCTTTGAGATCTGGTTCCGAAGGCGAAAGTCCAGCGACACCTACATCCTCCAGGCCAGCTCAGCTGAGACTAAGCAGGCCTGGACCAGTGACATTGCCAAGATCCTGTGGCAGCAGGCAGCCCGCAATAAAGGTGTGATTCCTTCCTGGGGCGTCTGTGCCGCAAAAGGTGCGGGAGCCCTGTTCAGCTCGTGCTGTCCTGAGTAGGTTTGGAGCCTGTTACCAGGCAGCTCTGTGCAGCGAGCAGCTGTGTGCCGGCATGCAGCCTCAGGAGCATGTGCTGGGCTTGGCTGGGCATGTCCCTTCCCTGCCCCTCATCCCCAGGGAGCTTGACCAGTCCAAGCTCTGTGTGACTGTAGACACCCACCTGGACTCCATGAGAGAAACGCGAGATACTAGCACAGGGTTCCCTGCCCTGTGAGTGTGGGCTGTGCTCCTGAAAGGCTCACTGCTCTCCCCATGATCCGGGCCGCTACTGGAGTGGCAGCTGTCTTGCTGAGTCCCTCCTCTCTGCCCCAGGCTTCCCGCTTGGCAGAACTCTCATAGGTGGCATGGCACTGAGCTGCTTGGCCAGAGCAGGGCATGATTGCTTGTCTGTGGAGACTCCTCAGGACTGGGGAGCGAGGAGAGAATGGATCTAATCTCAGCAGTTCAGGAGCAGCCTGGCCCAGGAGTGCTCTGGCCTGGGGCTGCATAGCGCTCGTGGGGCGGGTTGGAGCGACCTCACGATGCGGCTGGGGGGCTCTTTCCCTCCAGAAATCCGTATGCAGGAGATGGTTTCCATGGGTGTGGGCAACAAGCCGTTCCTGGATATCAAACCCAGCGAGGCAGCTATCAATGACCGTGCCATTGATTACATCATGAAAGGCAGAGGCGAGTACCAGCTGTGTCTGCCCCCTTGCTCCGAGTGAGCTAGGCAGGACTGGTGCTCAGGGCTTTTTTGGTATGTTTTCTGGCAGGCGCCAGGACAAGAGCATCAATGGCTGTGTCTCTGTTTGACCATTCCAACCCGTACAAGAGGACACAGGCGCAGCTCTCCGCTGGCAGCACCCCTGCTGCATACAGCCCTTCCTCCTCCTCCTCCCTGCTGGGGCCCCTCAACCTCCACATGTACCTGGACCAGGCTCTGCTGCCAGGCGTCCTGGCCCCCAGCCGCCCCTTTGACATCGGCACCTGCATCGAGGAAGATGAGCTGGAGCACGAGACGAGCAGCCAGCCGTCACTGAGTACGTACGAGCCCGCTGCTCTGCAGCGCGCCCCGGGACGTGCGGGCTCGTCCCCACGCCTTGCTCTGCGCTGTGCGGTCAGACCAGGCTCACTGGGGTCATGGCAAGTCCCTGGCCGGTCTATACCAATCTCCAGCATCGTTTGCTCCACTTCCTTGGGTTATTTTGTTGCCTATGGCTTTAAAGAGGCCCAGACAGGAGCGTGGCTTATCTGTGGGCTTGTGTGGCCAGTGTCTCTGCAAACAGATAACTTACCTAGTGTACGTGGCACAGGTCATGTAGGCCAAAGTTGTGGTCATCAGAGTGACCTTCCTCTCTTTCCCCAGCAACAGAGAGCTCGGAGTCATCGCACTGCATGTCAGGCAGCGGTTCCAGCGGCTCCGACAGTGGCTGTGTCTCCAGCATCCCACAAGAAAGCTTCTGTGAAGACATGGGCTCACCCGCCTACATGCCCCTAGGCTCACAACACAGCTCTGCGATGGAGGAGAAACCCAGGTTCACAAACAGCCAGTACATTTCTGCAGTAAGTGCAAGCAACCAAAATACTCTCTTCACTTTGCCTGTTCCTGCAACTGCCTCCCCGGTTCAAGCCACTGCCTCTCCTGGGAGGGCTGAAGATGCTGCTTTTGGGGTAGGAGTCACTGTGGGGAAGTGACCTTTCCTCTTGCAGAGACTCGCCTCCTCTGGGGCAGGCGAAAGCCCCTCTATTGCGAGAGCCTCCCCTGTGGTGGCCAAGATCCCCGAGGAGATGCACTGGAAAGGACCTGCAGTGCTGGAGGCTGCACCAGGAGGGGATGCTGCGCACAGAGGAGCTTTGGTGCTCTCATGGGCTGGGGTACATACGTAACCTCCTGGGATGGAGGGAGCTCTGTGGCAGAGGCTGCTAAGCTCCTTTCCTGGGAGGTTTGGGCCTTTTTCGGGGAGCAATGAGATGGAGGAGCGGGAGCCTGTCGCTCTGAGATGTCAATGTGTCTCCTCTTATGTTCCTGAGAGTTCTCAGCTGCTTCCCTTCCCACTAGATCGTGTCCTGATGCTGTTGTCCTCTAACCCTGTACTAATGCTGGCTTCTCTCCTCTGCAGAAAGCAGGCCAGGTCACCATAAGTCCCTCGACAATAGTGTGAGCCCCTCTGCACACGTATACCGCCTAAGGAAGTGGAGTTGTTGTAAGTAGCCCCTGAAGGGGATTTTCCAGCAGCTCTGAGTGCTGGTCAGGTTTGTCAGTAGCTCTGAGTCAGGAGAACCTCCCCCTCCACTTCTCGATGAGAAGTTCTCCACACACATTCCTGATGGGTCTCTGAGGCTCTGATTCATCTGGTTAGAGAAGACTGGTCTGATGCCTCCTGGGTTTGAAGGAGCAGAAGCAAAACAAGCAAAATCACTTTCAGGCAGTAGAGGCTTGAGCACCACCTAGTCATCAGTGTTCAGATGAGCTCCTTTCCTCTGAATGCTGCCCAGCTGTCTAACCACTAATCTGTTTCTTGTGGCTGTTTGCTGAAATCCTGCTCTTCGTTAGTCCCTCTGAACTGCCTTGGGGAATCCACGGTATTCTCCCCAAGCTAGATTTATCCCACAGTTTCCTTTGAACCTCCAAAGGAAACTGCACATCACCAGGCAGAGGAACCTGCTAGGTTATGGTCAGGATGTCCTGAGGGAGCTGCCAGATGTTGCTCCTGTACTTACTGATTTCTGGAGGGTGCCTTGTCTGCGAGGAAGTCGCTGTTGATCTGAGGAGGGATGAGCCCTGGCAAGACACGCAGCCAAGCAGGGCTTCTACGTGTGGGTGACAGCCCTTGGAAAGTCATCTTCTGCCCCACTCAAACTAGCCTGCCTCTGGCTCAGCTTTTTCCTCCCTTTTCACAGGGAGCAGAGGGGTATGAACACGGGAGAGGCAGGATTAGGGCTTCAGTGGCCAAGGCACAGGGTGGTAGATGACTCGTAGGTTTGGCACCGTGGGGGTGTTACAAGCACACAGGCCCACGGCTTGTGATCTGCAGGTGTGGGAGTTCATAACCAGCTAAACAGAACCAGCCAAGGTTACAATTTAAGACCCAGAGCCCCTTCTGGGGGGGGTCACAGATGAGATCTTTGAAGTGGCCACAGAAGCAGCGGGATTTGCTGGCCCGCTGCTGCTGGGACAGCAACGTGTAACCTGTGGGTGAGTCCTGAGGTGCAGAGGCAGCCCTCCACGTGGGGGAAGAGCCGCGCTTCTGCAAGGCTCTTCCAGTAAAATGTTCTTTCCCCACCAAAACGCAGCTCTGACAAACAGTGGTTTTCGAGTGTTTTACAAAACCACTGCTGGCCGGGCAGAGGGACCTGTGGGATCCTGCCACGTCACAGGAGTGCAGCCGGTCTAACCCATTGCGCGGTGCTGTGTTCCAGGTTTGATTGCCATTTCAAACTCACTGAAGACCCCAGGCCTCTGACCAGCAGAAGGAGACAGTCTTCACCTATGAAGATTTTTTTTTATACATAATCAGGCTCTTTCAAACAGTCTAAAATCTGACCTCTGGCTGGGGGGAAGTCCCAAGAAGGTTTCTGTCAATTACACGCAATAGCTTTGGTGTTGGATTGGGACCTTGGGCATTCAAAACTTGTTAGCCCTATATTTATGAGTAATAAGTAAAATAGCAGTTTGGAAAAAAAAATATTGTATTATTTTTAAAGCTATGAGCTGTACAGATTTTTGTTACAAGTGACTCTGTTACTATTTGTTCTGTAAGCTGCACATTTTATAAAGTTTTTGGAAGGGCATGAAGAGAAACGGAGGTATTTAAGAAAAGTAGTGTAACTTTCTGTATCAGGGTTATATTGACCTGGAGCTCAAGATTTAACGTCCTTCCTTATGTTCTAAATATGTCTATCATAGCAATAATTTATTTTCTTGGCTTAACACTTCTGTTTTAATAAAAGCAATTTCATTGTTACAGTGAATTGTTTTTTTAGATGATTCTTCCAGTGCCTCAGTGCTGAGCTTCTCTCTGTCTTAACCATCTCCTCCCTGTGCAATTTCTGCACTAACCAACTGCCAGTGAACCCGAGCGTGTTCCCCAGGGGAGGGGGAAGATCCCAGGCACCAGCATGCGGAGACTTCCCGGGTGCCGGTGGGAAGGCCGAGGCAGAGCAGGGAGTTGAGAGCCGCCGGCAGGGACGTCACTAGGCGTGACGACGAGGCAGCTGTCTGGCGGAGGTTAGAAGGCACAAATTGCCAAATTTCCTGGCTCTAATTGAAGCCACTTACCTGTGTAGCTGCTGTCCCGGCGGCCAGCCTCTCTCTGTCTCTCCCTCCATTGGGGCAGGGTGCGAGTGGCAAAGTTCAAACTCCAGCGTGCCTTGTCCTGGCAGCCAGGCCGTGCCCCGGGTTTTGGGGTGACAGGGACTGGCTGCTTGCTTTGCCTCTGACTCGGCCCCTCTCCAGGTACTTCAGTCCCACCATTGGGACTTGTTTGAGGAGCTGTGGATAGTGGTGGCATCTGAGACCAACAGGTTTTGAGTATAATGGGTTGATTATAATGCTGAACCTTGAAGGCATATTGTCTGAAGTAGCGCAGAATAACCGGAGGACAAACGTGCCCTGTGTTCCAAGGTTGCCTGTTCATGAGTAACATCAAAGCTCACACCGTGGCTGTGACATGCTCTCTGTGTTCTTGAGGAAATGAAAATTAGCATTTTTGGAAACTGTAGTTACTTGCTGCCAAGCTCCTGTTTACTCCTGGTTCATGAAGTGCTGTAAATCAGGCTCCCCCAGATGGGGAGCGGTGGTGTCACATTTAGCCTGAGGAAGATGATGGAGCAGTGATTTACTGAACCGCAGTTTTCTCCCCATAGCTGCTGGGGGGAGCTGCCTGGCCCTCGGCAGTGCGGTGCTGTAGTCCGGGATGTTCAGCCTCAGAGTTCCCCTCTGCATACAGACCGTGCTCCTGCAAGTTTGGAAATTCCTGTACTGTACATAAAACACTTGTTTATTTTTAATAAGCTGGATGTTTTTTAAACCCTGTTCTTTTTTTTAGACAGCAAAGAGAACACAGTTTGACACCTTTGTACAAAATTGTGTGGGAAACTGTTGCACAGGGAAGATTTTAAAGTTAGTATTTTAAAACAATTGCTAAGTTAATGCAAGATTTTGGGGCTGTCAAGACAGCAATAGCACATGTCACAAGAGGGAGAGAATTTACTAATGCAACAAGAGGAACATGAAACTTCCTGAATTTCTCAGTTTCAAAGGTTTCTGCATTGCTGGAAAAACCTTTAGTAATGTTTACCTGACACTATTTTTTCAGGGTTTAATTGATTTGTCTAATAAAGGTTATTTTCTTTATATGAATCATGTTTGCATTGTGTCTTGATTTCAGCATGGGAACCTGGGCTGCAGAAGAAGCAGCAGGTGTGCATTGAGAAGAGTTTTTCCCTGGGGCATCTAAATACTCTCAAAAACTGGTGGGAGATCGACATGTTTTTTAGGATGAAAGTGAGGGTGACTCGCTTGAGTTCATGTGATGAGGAGTATCAACTCTCCTCCCGGAGCTGCAGAGGTTTTAAAAGGGGAAGAGCAAAGCGCCACATCTGCACAACATGCTTAAAATAAAACATGAAGTAACTGCTCTAGACCTCTGATTATTATTCTAATTTTATTGGGCAAATAATATTAACAAATATGTTAGCAAGAAGAGGGGATTCTTTTGTTCATTTGGATAAATAAGGCCTGGGGGAGGTGAAAAGCTTTTGCCCAACTGCTGGCCCCCCCTCTTGTGAAAGCATTGTCTTCTGTTAAATAAACCCCACATGTCACTAATAAAGACGCAAGACATCTCCTCCTTCATGACCTAAAGCAAAAGGCTGCTACAAAGATTCCTGACTGAACAAAGTCACTGTTCAAAGTTAAAAGGCAGCTGAGCAAAAAGGCTTTTTCTTAATCAGCAGATGAGGTGTGTACCCTCCTCACCTGCCACAAGAAAATAAAAACATTTCAAAAAGCAGCTGGGTCAAATTTTTATTAACCTTCGGTGAACTTACATTGCCAAGGCAAAGTATGAGACCGATCTAGCAAACCCTCTCCGGATCAGTAAGTCGAGGCAGCGGCTGTACTTCCATGCAAATGGCAGGGTAAACTGAAAAAGCACAAAACCGAGGCCACCGTTAAATCATGGCACAACAGCATCACTGGCTCTTTCCAGTTCTTAACAGACCTAGAATTCCTTTGCCCGCTTTTTGTGGGCAATCTAAATTAGCAGCACAATTTATTAAGACTATACATGACATCAGTCAACTTGTGCTGTAAAATGTCCCCCCTTCCCCGTAACTCAGTGCAAACAACTGGGAACGGTGAACCAGTTTAAAGAGAAAGCCAACAGCGTTTGGAAGAAAAAATGCTCAGCCGTACAGCATCACCTGGTGGCAAATGCTACTTACTTCCACCCACTGAAGTAGCTCTTCGTGAACATTTCTGTCCCCTTTAAAATACTCTGTGTTCAGTAAATCAGCAACAAACTCCCTGGGTGTGATCTGCTGAGTCTAAAACACAGAACACGACACGGTCAGATCAACAGGCGGGAGCGCTGACGAGTGCCCAGCTTCTGCCAGTGAGCAGCACTCCTCGTGTTAGTGAAATTACCCCTCGGAGGGAGAAGTTCCCAGTCCAGCCTTGGCCAGGGTTTATTATTAGTAAGATTAAAAAGGTCTGGTGTGAGGTAGCAGGGCTGGAATCAGTTGCAGACACACATGCACACGAGCAGAGGGCACGCTCTCCCAAGTCCCTCTCCTTGCACCTTCCCCCCTCTCCCAGGGGAGAAGAAAAGTGCTTCTGGTGGGTGCTCTTAAAGCAGGACTGCTGGGGAGGGGGTGTGGGGTGCAGATGAGACCTGCTACTTCCAATGCAAATTCAAAAAAACCCCAGAAATTCCTGGTCCCTTGAGGGCGGGCCTTTATTTCTGCCACAACCCCACAGCAAAGCACACCAGAGTGCACAGACAGCGGGAGGCTGCCATGGCGCTGGGGGCAGGACACACTGCTGTTTATTTTTCAATCCCTGCAGGAGCGACTGAACCTCTTCACAGCTCCAAGGGTGCCTTAGCCGCTAGCCTGCCCGAGGCTGGCTCTCCAGCCCTCTGCTTCGGGGAGGGGGGTTACCCTTGGTTTTAAAAAAGGGACCTGGAAAGACTCCGGCACCCTGCTACTGCCTTGCGCCCAGCACCTTGTGCTGAGTAGCCTCGCGCTCCCCTTCTGGCCTTCGTGATTCTGCCTGAATCCATCCCCCCGCTCAGCGCCGTGGCTGCCGCAGCAGCCAGGCAGCTGGTCCGAACGTGAAGAGCCAAGTTTTTAACTCCTGCCAGCCCACCGAGGGCCTGGGGAAGCTGAGCAAGCACGGCTCAACCGGGCTGTCAGGGACTTGTACCCACCCAAAGCCTGTTCACAAGGGTCCCGACTTTGGCTGTGATTTCTTTGGGATCCTTCTGCCTTATGGAGTCCAGGATGACATCGGTCAGGAAAAAGTGACACTTCCTGGCGTAAAATATCTCCTCATGTGAGAGAGCAAAGCTAACAAAAACTATATCTACAAGGAACAGTTGAAAGAACACAAATGCATTAGGGAAAAAAAAGGCTGTGGTTTCAGCAGTCACCACGTCAGTTATCCAGCTTTTGGCTTCTTTAGCGCCTTTCCTGTCGAAGGTTTTACTGCAACTGAGTCCTAGCAGCCAGTGTTCAAACCTGAGCTCAATGTGAGAGTTTGCCTGAATAAAAACAGTACAGATTTCAGACCATTGCATCTTTCCTGACGCATTAAAGAGCTTCACCGGTGAATATGCAAGGCACCTGCTAGGTTAGGCAGCTGCTGCCCAGCTGTTTTGAAGAATTAAATGTAAGCAGCTGTTCGGCTGCGATAACCTTAGCTACTCAGCTAGTCAGAACTGACACAAACCATGACAGAGAGAATGGTTTTCATACTAAAAGCTGCAGCAAGATCCTAGAGCTGTCTACAGTTCTTACCTTTGGACAGTGCCCGAGTGTTTGGAGTGTGCAGCTGGCTGCCATCCAGCAGAGCACCATAAACAACACTCTCTTCATCGCTTGTACAAAAGCCATCACTGCCTAAAACCGGAGGGTGTTCAACTTTAAGAATCAATCCTACATTTCTGTCGTCTGCCAGAACAACGTCGGTTTGTTTGCTGTCCCTTGTTTCTGTGGATGAATACAGGTTGAGTTTTACGGCAAAGCCTGGATCGGTAGTAACGGGATAAAGACATTTGTAAGTATGACCACAATATTGTCATCTTCTCTTTAAAGTTATGCCTTGTTCTGTCTTTATGCTGTCGTGATGTTTTGCCAGGTAAGGCGATACATCACTAGACAGTAAATGACAACCTTTACACCAAATAATTTGCAATCTTAGGTATAACATTACAGGTCTTCTCCACTTCCCTCTTTCGCTCGGAAAATTCAGGCAGAGTAACCATTACGTACAGCTTAACGGAACTCAAGCATGATTCAGTCTGGGATGCTTTCACGGGGTATGAAAGAGGGTTTTTTCTATGAAAATAATAATCTGGCTTGCACTGCTATAGTAACAAAAACATCCACAATCATTATTAATACATTTTGCTTTGCCAACAGTTCTGTGAAAGCCTGCCGTGTTACCCACGGTGGAAGCGTTACAGGGTAAATCACATCCTTCTCAGGGTGTCAGAACTGAGACTTTCCACTGAGGTTTCTTGAGTTTGCGTTTAGTGTCTTGGCTAATCATGTAAATCTTTTTAACTCTTACACCTTTCTGTGGAAACTTCTGAGTTCAGCATAAAAATCTTTCAGTCTTTATGCTAAATTACAGATTTCTGTAACTGCCTGGATAACTTAAGCACATCAAACCAGCTTCACTGTTCCTTGCACAGCTCTAAAGGCAGAGGAACAAGGAGCCAATTAAAGAACAACTCATTAATGCCCGTGAATCTAAAAGCAGCTCCACCTTTCTGGCAAACACACTTTTAATATTAAACTCTGCATAAATAAGCAGTAAAATCCAGCCCTTGCTTAGCAGCTGGCGATCAACTCACTGTCTTTTATAGGGATGAGTTTCATTTGCAAGGTCTTGCCTCTTCCTTCGCTGGAAACACTTTCTACGAGCAGGAGAACAAGAAAAAGTTGAGACTGTCACTCCGAAATTCATCAGCATGATGATGTATCTTATTTATACAAGTCATTCAGTTAATTACTCCCATCATTTTTGAAAACAACAATCACAAACCAGTCATTTACCTTCTGGTTGCTCCCTGTTTATATCCTCTGCATCGTTTCCTACTGCGGGAGCAGTTTTTATGGTGCTGAATCGGTACGTTCCAGCACTCGGAGCAACTGGCAAACTCTGTGTGAACACATATTGCTCCGGCTGCTTTCCTTCAGCCCCGACTTCGTTTTGGGTAGAGCGATTGTTTCCTTGAACTGTAAAGCCTATTTTCCCAGGAGAAGAGGCAATAGGAGCTTTGACACCCCTCTCCTTTTCAGGAGTGTTGCACCGAGATACATTCGCTGTGATACAACCGTCAGACGTTCTCACGTGCTGAAAATCACACCTCTGGGAGCTCACCGCGTCCCATTCCTTTACCAGGGAAATTAATTTCTGGATGTGACTTGCTGAGTCTTTACTTTCTACTTTCTTTGTTAAACTGCTTCTCATTCCTCTCTTCCTTGGAGGGCTTAACAAATGTTTGTAATAGCTGGAGGTTACCAGGCTGTCTGAGGATGCATCGTATCCTCCAAGTGTATTCCTCCGCTTTGTCCCTCTCACCTGTGAAATCACGCTGGAATACTTTGTCTTATCCCCACTGATATCTTGCTTTCCCTTCAGATCTTTTATATTACTCCATGTATTAATATGGCATTTACTGGAATCCACAGCTGCACATGAATACACCTAAAAATACAATGAAATGTTGTTATTTCTAATTGATATGGAACGAAGTGTAAGTTTTGCCTTTCCTAATAACTGATGTATTTTACTCATTATAAGACAAGCATTTAAGGATTGAGTTCTTAATCCTGGAGAATGCATTCTCACTTCTGGGGGGGATACAGTGCCTTAAGGCTCTCCAAACCCTGCCCTGATAACTCAGCACTGATGTTACGCTGTCCTGAATCACCTCAGTTCCTATCACTGAACTTTGCTAAACCTGAAGATAGACACTGGAGTGGCCAAGGCACACAAGCAGCACCTCAATACCCCTGCTACCGCTACAACTAAGATAATTTTGATTATCTGAATTGACAGCAGCACATTCTGTACAAGAAAGATCGTTTGGCAAGTTAAAGCAAGCTGTGCAACCACTCTAGCATGTTAACACCAGTGTTAAGCTACAGGGTGGAGCAGTTTGACATCAGGAGGTAAATGCTACAGAGGCAGCACCTGCATTTTGCCTTTCTATAGTAGGCTGAAGGCAACTTTCAGCTGCTGGTGTCCATCCAACTAAGGACTAAAAGTATTCAAAGACTTGAGCAGAAGGTCCTTTCCCCCTTCCACTGACTTCGAAGACTACAAAGTTTCTGTAGGACGCTATCTTGCCTGAGTGCGCTGCTTAAGCTTGCTGTTCCTGTCTTTACTACCAAGGAACCAGGAGATTCGGCTTCTAGGTGCTCCTTGCCCAGAGGGGTCAGGACCCGTACCTCCTGTGACCCAGCGAAGTGCCCCAGTTTCCAAGCCACACTGAAGTCTGCATGAAAACACTTCCCACTTGGGGACAGGAGCTCCCTAAGTAACCAGGAATGCGAATCACAGGACCAAAAGCAGAATCTGAAAGAGTTTGGGCTTGTGGGGTTTAGACCAAGATAACACAGACCAGAGGATCTTGACCTTATGCTTTGGACTGTATGACTTTACAGCATACGGCCATTGGATAAAAACAGAAATAAAAGCCCAGCATTCAGGCAGTGCTAAAGCACCCTGCCTTGAAATCTACTGGGGAATTAAGTGTGGATCTCCACCTAAATTATCTCTTTATAGAAGGAGCTCTCTCATGTTTTTGTGGTATGCAAACAGAATGTCTATTGCTGATGTCTTCATGCTCAAAGCCTGGCTTTTTAAAATGAAGATGTTCTTTTTTTATAGAGAGAGATTTCCAAGACTCATTTTGTAGCTGATTTCGGAGAGGAAAAAAAAGCAAAATGGTACCAGGGAATTTAAATTTGGCACTTTTCTAATTCAAATTGCTTTTAGAAGTGCTTTATGGCAACATATTCTGAAAATCAAATCTTACTTCTTTTGGGTCTTGGCTGAACTCATGTTCTTCCTTCCAAGATACAATACTTAATCTTCTGCATGGAAAATAAATTTCATTGTGCAATTCATTTTTTTGGATCCATAATCTAGAAAATGAATATTTACAGTTATTACAGAACTTTGTCCAGGGGCAACAACCAGTCAATCTGTAAAAAGAACTGCCAGGACTTCCAGTCACCAGTGGATCTGTGTATATCACATTCATTGTTATGAGTTACTTCTAAACTACTGGGGAATGGAAGGAGCTCGCACTTGTCACTAGTACACAATACAGGGGTAGGAAAGGGCCAGGAGTTTTCATCGTCCACCTGTGATGAGAATTTCTGAAATGTGATGCTGCAGATACACAGGAGACAAAAATGATTTCTCGTCTCTCTTCCAGCATCCACAAAACCTTGACCAATGGGTTTATGTAAGCCATGTCTACCTGACGTCAGATTTGGAGTTTTTCCTCTCTTTTTTTGTGAAGAGGTTCTAGGCACTTTGGAGAGCAAGCTATTCAGATTCAGGTCAACCATCTACATTCATGATTTCAAAATTGAATTTTGAGTCCACTTAAGAAACTCAGCTCCTGACAGTGACTGCCCGAGCTGCACAGCAGTTTCTGAAAAGGTGAAACAACTCTGGAAGCACAGGGTAGCTGCTGCCCTCTGTCTCCTATAGGCAGAGATTTGGTAAGATTGCCTATGGAGCTGACTGATGAGCTAGCAAAGAACTCTAGGGACCAATCCCCAGTTCTTTTACTTTGTTAGAGGCCTTTGGTATATGCGATAGAGATGCTGACACGATCCCTGATGGGAAAGCACCAAAGAGCAGTGGAAGAGTCTATGTTAGAGTGGCACTAGCCCTTAGCTAAAACCTCCCAGGGAATGTAAAATTTTGTCGTTCACATGTAGAGTGCTTCAGAGTTCCTCTGACATCCTCCTCTTGCTCTACGGGTATAGGAACGTGAGGTTAGGCTCCTGCACTGGGATGGGGAAGTGGGGGAACGACATTTAGGATTTCTGCTTTGTAGAGATCTATGATAAAATCCAGGAATTGCTGTCACCACTGGTGGGATACTGGTAGCTACCACTAGTGTGTCCTACTGCCGCTTGTGGCAGTAAAATGAGATTGGAAATCCTGATGCAAACAGCCCATAGCATTGGTATTTCAGAACCTGCAATAGTGACTCATGATCTCCTGGGAAGATTTTAATGGATACATTTTGATTTTAAAATGCCTAAATGTGAGCAGCCTAAGTAAGAATCCACTAACTTCTAGAGCTCTCTTAGAAAAATACTGAAGAGAAGGGCCATGCTAGGTCATCTTCTAAAGTACTCTGCATTCAGGAGTTGAAACGTCTCAGTTCTGTGGACTTTCCAAAAGGCCTATTTTTTAACATTTTGTCCGTCCCTCTAATGAGCACAGTAGAGGAGAAAACACTAGTGTTTGCAGATTCACAGATTTTATAACGCCAGAGAAGACCCCTGCGATTATGAGGCCTGGTCTCCCGTAACAGCAAATGCTAATTCCTGTTTTAATAGCAAAATATCTTTCAGAAAAAATCCAATCTTATTTTTAAAGTTGTCAGCAATGGAGAAATAAGTCTCTGAGAAAATGTTCGATGATGAATTAATATACAAAAAGTTATGGCTTATTTTCAACATTAATTTGTCTAGCTTTAAATTCCAGCTGGTCTCAATCCTTTTCTGTGATGCTGCACCAAAGATATGCCATTCTACACTCTGCAGTGCTGGCAAATCCTCCAGTGGGTCTGCAGAAACCAGCTGGGGCTTGGCAAAGCCAGGGCTGAGCCAAAGCTAATAAATCACACGGTCTCTGCTCAGTCTGGTGTCTCCGTACAATGGTTTTCAGCGTGCACTGCAATATTCTCAATATCTGGACTTAGGGAGGTATCTCAGTTGCCTGACTGAGGACTATTCTGTCACTGTTCCAGTACCCAACTAACTGATGGGGAAAAAATGTAGCCCAGAAGATAGTGGAATTGCTCATCCTCCAGTGGCTGTGTTTCAGAAGGAAAGAAGAAAATTGTGCTGCTTTCAAAGGACAAAATTATGCTCCTTTCAAAGGACAAACACTGCTGATCAGATGAAAGGACATTATACGACAGAATAGAAAAAGAAAGAAGAGAATTTTTATCTACCTGTATGCATCAGAGTGATAAAGTGCCTCTAAAAGAGAAGGGATCTGGTACTCCTCTGCTTCTTGACAAAATAGAGGCCATTCTCTGTAAGTTGTAAATAAACTGAACTGTAAAATTGCTAAAAACCAATCTTACCAGATTAACCTTTCCAAATATATATTAATTTTGGAAGCTTAGGCAGTCACTACACAAAATGAAAGATGCATTCACACAAGTGATTTTTCTTTTAGCAGATGGACAAATAGCCTATCATTTTAAATACTGAAAAGTACCCAAACCAATTTTTTTTTTTTCTGTTTCACATCTGGCATCCAAACAATGAGAAAAAGAAAATCTGGTTTTATTGAAATCAATAGAAATCTTTTCATTGACTTCCATGGAGTCTTAATTTTATATCAGGAACCCCAAAATAGATGGCACACTTTTGAAAAGGTGCAACCAAAATAAATGAGCTCCTATACCAGAGGTGTTCAGCAGCACCCCTCTGAATCTTTGTGGAACTTGCTATTTTCAATACTTTTTCCATCTATTGCCCTTCTACTAGGTTAAGTGAAAACCTGTGTCCCCTCTTTTTTTTTTTCTTTTTTTTTTCTTTAATTAACCATGGGTATTGATGATAAAACCTTATTCTGAGAAGCGGGAATCCTACTCTGCTCTGTGCCACGACGCTTTTCTCTTGTGGAAAATTCACCATGGCATTTTCCATAGGGAATCCCATAAAGAGGGTTCATGGGTTTGATGAGCTACTAGGAAATCCACCATTCCCAGGAATACTCTTAGCCCTAGAACATGATCATCTCTGCTAGGAAGCTATTAGCATTGCGCTTGGTCCTACCCAATTTACACCCTCTCCAGCAATTCCTGGGCATGGTTTGGCCATTCGGATGATGTTTGCGGTGGACAGGAGGAGGGAAGCCACCATCTCCAGGAGGTTAAAGCAGATCACTGGCAGAAAGGCAGCTGGCCTCAGTGACCAGAAACCTCCCAGACATACTTAGTTTACTTGTATAGATATAACTGTAGGGTCTGACATCTGGCTGCCTATGCCTTTGGTGACAGACATGAAAGCAACTAGTGGTTATTATATCAAAGAAGCCACTGTCCTGCTGACTTTGGGGAAAAGAATGAAAATACGTACTCCTTGTGGAAACAACTAAACGTGCTAAAAATGACCACATCAGCTGGTGATCTGTAGTGAAGATATTCTGCCTACTAGAAACGATCCAACAAACAAGGGCTTCGAGAACTGAAGAGACCAAAAGGTCTTCTGATGCCAGGCAGACCTTCATTGCTGAATGCAAAAAATTGTAACATGTGGTGGTGGCAGAAGCAGGGAAACTGCTACAAGAAGCCATAGCACCAAAGGGTCAGTTCTGAGGAGTCTCAGGGGCAAGTGAAACACGTTGAAGGAATATCCTTAGGCGACTGGTGTTTTAAGCCATCTCAATTTCTGATGATTGATAAGATTTAGAGACCTAATAGATTGACATGTGTATGGAGGGAGAGTGCCCTCTCCTCTTCAGGCACCCCGTGTTCCTCCATTCCTGTACCACTGCAGTTTTGGAAGATACATTTTTCAGCATTAGAACAGAGATACCAGCAGAGGGAGCAGGTGGAGTATTTTTCAGCTGGACTAGCCAGACTTTGCTGTCCCTGCCATATAAAAAGACAAAAATCTGAAGAGGGATGCGATGATCTCATCAACAAAAACATTTTCCTTTTTGCTAAAGGTGTGCACATAATGCACCGATTTGTAATATACCCGGCAGTACAAGTGTCTGGCATATTGATCATTAAAATAAAGGCATACACACTGAAACAAAAACATATCTCACAATCTCTAAATCCCAATAATTTACGTTTAGATAGAATAGTTTACTTCAGGACTAAAAAGAAAAGTTTTAATTCTTTTGGATAATATTTCTACAAAAATCAGAAGACAAATCCCCATGCTTGCTTCTCCTACAGCCATCTAAAAGAAGCACATGAATTCACTCCACTTACTTAAATTCAGCTGGCAAAAACAATTTCCCAAGTCTTAGAAAGTTGAGAATGTGCCGAAACATTTGCCCATCTCCATGGATTAGAAGACTTTGACCATATGTGATCCAACAGACTTTCTTGTCATTTGACAGCAGCTCTGGGTACTACAGAAATAAAAATACATTAAGACCAGATTTCTGGTGTTAGTTATAGAGAGAAAGAAATCCAAACAGGATTTTTCCTTTCTCAGTAAAAGAATTAAACCAGTTCCACCAAGCCTACTTATATTATTAGTCAAAATACTTGTATTATTAGCCCAGAAAGTACTTTCTTGGGAAGTCCAAGATTTATTTCCCTCAGGTACTTGAACATACTTCCCTCAGTATAAAATGCGCAGTCTACATGTGAAGCTCTGATAATGCCAAGTTTTCAAGTCAAAACCATTCTAATAATTCTTATGACTAGAAATATAGATTCTAATCTGTAGAATTATAAATTCTCTCTAGGAAGGTTCATGTGAAGGCAATGCAAAGAATTAATTATCCATACCTTCAATAAAGTCTGTAAGTAAGTTTCATACCAGTTACTTCCTACATAAACTTTCACAATCTGATGGAGTGAGCATACGGATACTTCTGCTGCCCAGTCTGTGTCTAGAGATGGAGTAACAGATGGAAAGGTGACAACTAAAATAATGACAAGTAGTAATTATTTTGTTATAGATACCAAGTTAATATGATATAAGATTTTACATCAAAATATTGCAAATAATAATTCTTTGAAATAGTGAAGTAATAGAGCATACCCTATGCACACAGAGCTAAAACTCTCATGTTTTGTTTAGGGGTCATACGCAACTGCAAGCAAAAGGCAAGTCAGGATGTAATGTCCCAATAACAGGCAACTTGGTCCATCCACGCTGCAGCCAACCCGCCTCTCCTCAACAGGTTAAAAAATAATAATAGCAAGGAGGCTATACGCATTAGCATAGTGATGCTTGCTCTACTGAGAAGGCACATTTATGTCACCTAAGGTAGGTGAATCTAAGTATACTGTTACGTTGCCACAGAAAGAAATAATTTACTTGTAAAGTATTGGAAATTGGGGGGAAATCTGAAAGGTCTTTGAAAACAAAGGCTTAGCTTGTCAGGAAACCTAAAGCTAGTGGAAGTCCAGGGCAACCTGTAACAGAGCTACTGCACCATTTTCCATCCTTGCAAGGAGCCCCACTTCGTTATTTCCTTTGAAGATGACAGTACCAGGGCGGGTACAAGCCTCAAAGAGCAATTATGCACAGAGAGCAGAAATAATGTAACGGCTTTGGATAGATTTCAGTCTGGGTTCAGCCCACATCTTACCTTAGTGTGGCAACAAAAATCTGGGAAAGTTTCTGTTGAAATAATTAACAATATAGTTCACATTACTATTGATAGTAAGTCAGTCCTGGGACACTGCTTTAGGAAAATCAAAATACATTTGCATTCAAAAGAAATTGTTAAAAAAAAACCCTAACTTTGAAGAGGGCTCCAACATGAAGAATTTTGTTTCTTACAATAGCCCAGGCCTTTACAGAAGATACAGGCAAGTCATGCTTTTAAAGAAATTATTTATAGGGCTATGAATAATTATAAAAATAGATTCTACTATCTCTAAACAATGAGCAAACTAGCATATGCTTGTCTGATGTAGCTACTATAATGGGACTATCCATCTTCCATAGCATCTGTACAACTGAACCATCATTTACTGCTAAGACATTTGTGTCACAGAGTTATTTTTTTCTAGCAGGTGTTACCCAACAGGCTACACAATAACAACATTGTCAGTCAGTGAGACCTTCAGGTTATTTTTGTACTCTAACAGTCCCTCAAAAGTAGATGTAAATCATTAACTGATTAATCGTATTCAGGCCACACTGCTCATTCTACTTTAAAATGAAAGAGTTCTTGAGAAATCTTGACTTACTATAATCTCTGCTCTCTGCTGGCATCTGTTGTTTCAGATAGCGCTTTAAAGCATCTTTCATTGGCTCGTATGTGGTGTCTCTTTTATCCAGATAAATACAGAGCTCTTGGATTTCAGAAATATTTTCAGTGAGAGGAAGTTGGCAAGTTCCCAGCCAATTCCTATCCAAAAGAAGAGGAAATCATTAAACTTTTTATCCTTGCTTTATATTTTCACTCCTTATTTTTAATGAGTACAAGTCAGGAAATATGAATTCTCCTAAAAATGTTTTTTGCACCTACTGAGCTTTACTCATAACTTTCCACATCATTTTTATATTGAGAGCGATCCAACATCAACAAATAAAGCTATCACAACGGAGCCATCAAATAATGATCTGTAATAGTTTTGAATAAAGCTTTTAATATGGTATTTCTCCTACACTGGGTCATTCACTAGCGCCAACAGCAAGTGCAGACAAGATGCGAGGGGCAGAGATGAGCTGACCATATGTTTGACCTTTCTGTGTCTTTCTGCCACCCTTTACAGGCTGGGTATTATCTGTTTGTGTTACATTTAAAGATGGTTAAAAGGTGCAGGAAGTTTTTCAACCTATAGTTGATGGAAATACGTGTGGCTGAGCATCTAATTGCGTGGCAGGCTTGAATCACAACCAACTGGATTCACTGTGATTTCTTTTGGTTTTCTTTTCTTAATTCAAATCACAACAAGCAGGTGAAAGAAAATGGTACCCGCTTTTTAATAGAGAGTATTAAAAAATGTATTTTAATGGCTAGCTTTATGACTCACCTAGTGAGTGTCTGCATTTAAAAAAAAAATCCCTCTGTCACAGCAAAGATGTCTGATCTCTACATTTACATTTTCACCGATTTCAGGAAAGAGGTGCTAATGATTCACTAAGGAGCCATTTTCCTATACAATAGGGATTTTATTAAACCGGTATACTGGTATGGTAAGTCTGAGCAATAATGCTAACAATATGGAGAAGTATTCTCAAAGGATCAAGTTAAACCACAGCATTCAGAAGTTTACTTCCTTTGTTGGACTAGACATAGCAGTATGAGTTTTTCTGTGGCTTCAGAAAAGCCTGTACCCATAGGCATTCAGATGCTTTCGAAAATCCCATACAAAGTTTTCTGAATGAATAGTAAATCTTACATTTTAAGAACATGGGATCACTAAAGAATTTACATACACTACTTTGGAATTTTAGGTTTACCAGCCTAAAATAGAACAGAAGAATGCCAACTCGCATAATTATAGTCACCTGCAAGTTTAACTAAAAATGAATACAAATTCTAAAAGACAAGCTGCTGAGAACAGGACTCCTTTTCAATTACAAAACCCGTTAGACAGCCTTTTGAAAGAACCTTAAGTTATGTTGATATTGCCTGTATGAAGGCAGGGTGGGTACCTGGCGTGCTGGAAGAGGACGCCGTCGCCGGAGAGGTGCAGGCGGCTCCTGCCCAGGTTGCTGCCCACGCGGAGCTGTCCCAGAGACGAATCGGGGTAGTTGGCCAGCAGCCCCAGCGCCATGGCGTAAAGCGGGGACCGCAGCGGGGACCCCTCTGCCGCAGCCGCCCCCCGCCGCTCCCTGGCCCCTGCCGTGATGGGGGACACCACGGAGCAGCTGCCTGCAAGGAAAGGAGGTCAAGACTGCACCGCAGAAGGTCAGCGATTAATAACCACCACCATATTTTCCACTGCTTTCAACATTTTATGGAAATGAGTTGCTAACTCACCTCAGTGTTGATCATCTTAATATAATTTTCATTTCAAACACCCATTTCACAAGATAACATTAAAACCAATGCATATAAGGAAGAAAATACATAGCTATGTGTATTATATTACCTCTGTAGATCTTCACAGCATCTATAAGCTCAGGAATTCCCAGAATTAAAACTTCTTCCTCCAGGGCATCTATGTTGGAGAAGTCATCAGGCAACAACATCTTCTCTGAGCGAAGAAAATTAACTTGAAAATAAAAATAAATCATAGAAAGTTGTGTGTTGACGTCTTCTGTCCACTGCTCAGATCTAGCAAAAATATGTTCTTATCATTTCCTTCAGTATTATTGTTCACGTACGCACATTTACACAGCAGGTAAATGGACAGCAGGGAACATTTTGTCTTTGAAAATGCAATCCTAAAACCAAGGTTTATAGCAGAGGAGACCAGACACAATATAAACGACAGGGGAAGCACAGAATTTCATTAGTTTTGTTTATCGCAGCAGCCTGAGAGATTCATGTAAGAGGTTTCCTGTTTGTTTGGCTGCTTTTTCTCCCCTAGGCACAGACCCATCCCACTGTGCATTTAATCATGTGTTTTCCTCTATGCTAACATCAGAGGACTGGCAGAGCAAAACTGCAGCAATTTCTTATCTATCTCATCTTAACTGAGTTCACAGAGGATGAAATACTATGTTGATGGAGGAGGTATGTGATTCTGCCATACTTTTGAGAAGTACTTGTCTTTTTTTGAAGCTGGAAGATTATTTAATGAATGAAACATGATTTTTTACTAGTGAAACACTACAAGATCAAGCAGGGATTTAGAGTCACCACTAAGTTTTGTCTACCTTAATTACCAAGTGTTAACAGCAGTTCTGGTACCTGATGCTATTAATGCATTTTAGGTCAGAAAACAGCTGGATTAATAAAACCCAAATAAGTAGAGCCATAAGTGGGTAAATTTAGGTACATGAACTCTGAAAGGCATCTGGTAGAGGCTTTGGTTATTGATTGATAAACAGGGCAGTATAACTGGCAGACAGCAAAACCAAACCAAAACTGAAAAATTACAAGACACTGATATCTAAAGAAGTATTGTTGAAAATAGGCAGAAACAGTTTAATATAAAAAATTATTTAAACATGTCAGAATAATAATAAGAAAGAACAGTTACCTATGAAGCGGAACTCACTGGACTCGCACTCAATCAGGGCTGCATTCTCAAGCAGCCACAGCAAATTGTCGTCCTTAACTAGTACAGGATATTTTGCCACCAAATCTAGTGGCAAAAAACAGTAGTTCACTTCATCTTCCGTATCTAGTAAAGGTGTATCCACTAGCCCTAGGGGAGCTCTTTCATGTAACCCTAGGCAAAGAAAATCAATGAAAAATCAAGACATAAGTAAAGAAAAATGGAACTCGGATATACACTTTGGAGATCTGACAGGTATAGCAAAGCCAATGAAAGTGCATTAATCTTCTGCAACATTTAATGTTCAAAGAATGAAGACTTACAGCCCAGCACAAATAAATAAACATTTGCATGGGGTTTCCTTTTTTTAAATGAAGGTGACTAATCAGAAAAAAAAAATCACAAAAAATAAAAACTTTGCAAGACTCTCAAACATTCCTGGCTTACAACAACTGACAACATTCTATAGGCATTCCTAAGGATGCAAAAGAATTTGTCAGTTTGGGACACTTACCTGTGAATGCTGGACTGTTAGGAGGAATCTCCGATGGCTTGCTGGTACATTTTCGTGTTCTGCAGTAATTCAGAGATGTTCTTTCAGCTACTGGTGTATCTGCAGGCTCGACATGTAAATTATATTTCTCCTCCTTCAAATTATCTAAAATCTGTCAAGATACATAAAGTTTTTCTATTTACTACTTCAATTCAAATAATTAATACAAAAGTCAAAAGCGGCCAAGGGAAAGAGTCTAATGCATGCCATGCTGTACTTCACACCTTCTAAAATATGCCATGGAATATTGTATACAGACAAGAACAAATACATTCCTAAGTTTTAGGTACCTAAAGGTAAATGGAATGAACTTGTAGAGAACATTTATTAGAACTTGTAACATAATTAGTCCCATTCATGTATTCCAAAAAAGCCAACTATTTTTCAACATTTGAGTTTTAATGGCACTTCCTTGTATTCTAGCTCTGGAATTCAAGACAGCATACTGGCATGCGTAAAAGTATACAACAATAGAAATAGCCAAAAACGTGACCCAAAGCCTGAAAGACCTTTTGAGCTCTTCTTAGTAACATCTTTATGATAAGCTGTAGGAATTAAATGATTAGAAAGGGAAATCAATGTTTGGCTCAGTGATAAGAATGTTTAACAGTCTGTATTTCCTAATCTTTTACTGAATGATAAAGAAATTATTTTAAACTTGGAACAAATGGTTACATACTGTTGTAGGATATTAAGTATAAAGTAACTTTAGAGCCACAATTATGACTTCTAAAGCACACGCGTAAAATACCTTCATGAATTAGTAAGGTTAGACTGACAAGCACTTAAAAGCCAGAAAATACAAGAATTCTGGTTCCGTGGAATGTGTTCCTGCCCATACCACAACAGATCCATGTTAAATGTGATCATATACGGTTGTTAATACAACAGACTACTGAGGTTTGGTGGCCTTCCTCTCCCAACCTATTTGGAGATGTTACATCTTTAAACACAATCCCAAAAGAAAATCCAAAAGTGTTCACGTTAAACCCAAAATATTAATATTTTGGGCTAAAAATATCAAGCATAATAGCATCTTTGAGACGATTCCACAAAAAGTATTAGAAACCAAAAAAATGCAGAGTTTAGACTAAACTTTGGGGAAATGCAAATATTAACGTACGAAAATGCACATTTCATCCAACCAGGAAGTATGGACTCAGCCTTCACTGGCACAATGCAAAACTACACTGCAATTACCTTAAAAAATACTTGTAGCTAAATAGTAAATTAAATCCATTAACATTTCTATTTATGCAGCTACAGAATAGGAGGAGAGGAAGAATCATCATTTCCCCATTTGACAGGGTAGTGAATTCAGTGGTGTCCCACTGGGATGAATTTGGTTTTGGGCAGACTCATCTTCTTCACATTAATATTCAGCAAGATCAATCAGTATAATTGTCATAAAGCACAACAGTTGGCAGATAAAAGTCTCTGCTTGCTTTAAATTTAGTTAAAAAAGCAAGTAATGACTGTTGAATGAGCTCTTACAGAAAGGTCAAGCATCAAATTTCTAATGTTTTCTGTACTCACCAGCTGAGGCAGATTTGTTGAATGTGGCAATTATTTGTTTGGATACCTATCGCAAGCATTGATAAAGTGATATATGCAAACTCCTTGACATCCTTCTATGGACAATATTATCTAAGAATGAAAAGATTGTAGAAAAGCCACATAGAATATCCCACTTTACCTGTAATAAAGGTGTCAGCTGCAAAATTAATGCTTGCTCATACAATAAGTTCAATTCAGCACAGCTGAAAAAAGATAATTTTGAAGTCTGCATATAATAATGAAGGTGCCTAAATATAAAACCGTCTTGGTCAATAAATAATCTTAGATTTTCAGACTGATCTTGTAGGGAAGCTTCTTTCCACAACAGAGATTCAGGAAACTGAGCAACTTTACTTTTGGGAATTGAGAAATACCAGCCACCGACATTAAAATGAATTAACTGTTCTTCTGCAGATTCCATGATGCTCTCAGGTTCCTTCAAACAGAAGAGGAAAACACATCAAGAGTCAAGAATGAACCTGTAAACTCTGAAACAGTGTGACGTTTTATTTTAAACCTCATTGGGCTTTGCATTTTATTTTCCATTCCATGCTAGCTTGACAAAAAATAAAGCATGGGGCAAATGGCCTATAGCATTATGTTCCCATTCACTTGTGCATGCACATTCCTTACTTAATAGATGTTTATGGTCATGGGTTATGACAAGTCAGCAAATTGCAAGGTTTTACATAACTTAATACTTACGGTTAAACCTTGGAACAACCTGGTCTACATGTACACTGAGTTTGTTACACAGAACAGCAAATGAAATATGACGAATGTCTTCCTTAAATATTCAGATAAAAATAATAAAATACAAATAAATGTCGTATACCTTTCCACACAACCTGTGTGCCTATGGACACACCATTCTATACAGTTAGTTACTATTTTAAGATGCAGATATTTATTACTATGTAGGTCACAATCCTCTTGACAAGACAGGAGAGAAAATAATTGTCCATGGTGAAAGGATGCTTGGTAAGCACATAGGTGGCTGTCAGCTAAGCAGAGAAAATTCACCTCAAGTGGGACAAGAACACGCAGTTAAGGCCTGTAGCCAATTTTTTCATGTTATTGTATCACACTGAGATGTGCATTAGTCTGTGGCCTACTAAAACGGACGGAAAAGTCAATTCAAGGCTGAAAAAAAAAAAAAGCCTGCCTGCCTTTGCCACAGCAGCTAGCCTCCAAAGCCAAAGAGGCAGAGTTTGTACTGACCGTGGAGAACACCATTCTTGCAGCAGGAAAAAACATGGTAGAAAACGATACCTGATGTGTGGAATGTTTTTAGGCTATTTCTCATACCCATGGCTACAGAAAAGGGAGTCAAAAGGAAATCTGGAAAAGGATGGGGAAAAAAACACCACTCTTAATGAATGCAAGAATTGGACTTTGTAGCTTCTAGAGAGAGCTCATAATCATGATGAAGGTGCTGCTGGTCACTCTTGACAGTGATGGAGAACCACAATTACCTTGCCCTCAAAGTATGCTTAGCAGAGACTTTTTCACAGATATTCTCATCATCAACTTCTTAACATTGATACTACCCAGCAATTTCAAAACAAATTAAATATTTGAATACAACACATTAAAAAAAAAAACAACCAAACTGTTCAAGCAAGAAAGAAGAAAATTTTTAAGAGAAAAACAACAAGATACTAAAATTTTGACATTTCTAAGGCTCCTTTCCAATGTTGAGAGCCAGCACCACCAAAACCCACTCATCGGCACCATTGCTCCAAGAAAACTACTTCCAGACACGTCTAAGGCAATTCACTTGTCTCAGGCTGCCATTTTATGGGCATCAGCGCCAAACTAGCAGCCCACCGCTATGCAAAAGGGGTCTTACCCCCTTCTCCCATCCCCTGCTCCCAGCCACGTCTCGTGCCTCTCCATCACATCAGGCCTTGTGCTGGT